AATTCCCACGGGTTAACTTGAATGTCTGAAAGGATTATCATTCACTAATTACATTTCTGAAGTTGAGTCGAGATGGATTTCATACTTAAAACATGCCTCGTCCAATCAAGCCATTCCCTCAATATCTAATGCATATATATTTTTTTAAGGCCTTTCGAGTCCCCTTTTTTCGGGTCTCATTTCGGCACTCTATTCAACCCTATGCATGCGGCTGTGGATTCTACATTGCACCGCATTCGCCCTCCTATAGAACATATGAGTAGCATGGGAAACCACAGGAAACCCATGCCGGTACAGGCGGTTACTCTATTAGCAACCTCCCGCTCGCCGGAGCCTTTCGTTGAAAAATTCGGTTCCACGGGGAATCGAACTCACAACCTTTCGCACACTAGACTTGCGTCTAGCCCACTCGGCCACCGACGTCGGTGCATATTCATATTGAAACCCCCAAAGAGCAGAAATAAAATCGAATAAAGATCAAACAAATCCATTCATTCGATCAACTAACTCTCTCCTCAGCGTCCACACATGAGAATCGATATTCACCAGAACGAGTTCTCTATCATTTCCTGGAAAACTCGTGGGACAGGTCGGTCGTTAAAATTCATCATATACGTGATTTCCCCATTCTCATGGAATACTCGAATTTCTAATGCCTTCCGTTATACTCCAGATATCGCATGTTCCATCGGACGATTACGTTCGCAACTTGGTGAATTATTGGTGTCATTAAAATAACCAGGTCACAATGGGATTTACGATGATATGATCGTCTCTAATTGAAACAACTTGGAAATTGTATTATTCCATATTCCCTCAGTAGTTGTATTACTGTGTGAAATTCATGTTTTTTCTTCATCGAGTTGTATCGATACAGGAGATTTATTTCCCCGGTGTTTTCACCCACGTATTCCCCAAGGCAAGATTTGATATAAAGTCTATTACGATTTTACCTGCGAACATTCGATTCCCATTCACCTCCATGTGCATTTGGGAATAGAGTTCCATTGGGTACCACGTGCTTTGCATGTTTTTTAGATTTTTCGGAGCTGTATGAAGAGATGAGGGAAGGAATCAATAGGCAAAGGATGCACCAGGCCACAGTCGAAATCACATCTACACAGAGGAGGAACGATCTAATATTTTAAAACGAGTTTGTTGAGTTAAATAGATTATTTCAGTTTTTAGGTGGTCCCATTTCGTTCTTCTTCATTTCTGTGCGCCAAGCCTCATGGCCCTTTCAGCGTCGTACGATTTCTCGACATCACAACAAAAACGAATGTTTGAAGTTCACTCACCTTTTGTAGACATTTTTCAGGCACTAAAAAACGTCTGAATAAAATGAAAATGTGTCGAATTTCAGATAAACAGATGCCCAAGCATCTTAATTCATGTTTGAAATTCGGACAAATTTTCATTTTATTCCGACGTTTTTTAGTTTCTGAGAAATGTCTACAAAAGCTGTCTGAAATTCAGATATTCGTTTTTGTTGTGATGAAGTTTCCAATTCCCACCAATTCCCATTTGTCAAGACTTGAACTGAAATTGACAGATTCAATTTTTTTTCAAATGGGCGATTTTCAATTATAAAATTCTGTGAATTGTCGGTGGAATTACATGGAGAGAAAAGTTGAATAAAAAGTATTAGAAAATCATGGCAAACTTTACTATACAAAAGGGAATCTCTCAGCGAAATTAAAAAAATAATACAAAATTTCCTTTGCGAAGAATATGGAAACGGATGAAACTGAAATTTTACCGTACAGCGTTTGGTAAAAAATATCATTCTCAGTCGCAGAAAAATTCCTCCACATATATGAATGATTACGGAATATTGAGCAATCATTCACTTTCATGGCATAAATTTTGCATGATGCACATTTAGTCCATTTTCTTATCTCATTTTGGCTCCAATATCGACTGAAAAAGATCCAAAAATGGATTCCGCTCCACGATTAAATGACTTCTTTGGTAATTTTCCTCAAACTTTTTCTCCATCTAGAATTCCGTGCAGTGTCCATGGCTTCTTACCTCGATGGAAAAATTTCTTGGGTTAAGAAATCTTTTTTTTTAATGCCAGGAGATGAGATAATAATTGAAAATACTAAAAACTGCCTTCCTGATCTGATTCATTGCCTTTTTGATTTATTTTATTCCCTGAGAACCCATACTTCTCCATCCATCACTTCGCAATGCCTCCCACGCTGAGAAAAAAAAATAACTCAGTGAACGAAATTTGTGTTAGCCAAACAAAGACCCGAAATTTCCCCGCAAAATTTCCCTATAAATTCTTCTCTGAAGCATATTTGATAGCCAGACCTATATATTTTTTCTCAGTGCATTGATATTGATGTCTTACAAACCATGTTTTCCACCGAATGATAGAATAACCAATATTCCCTCCATGATTCCATCCATGCACGGGAGAGAAAGTCGATCAGTCGAGAGTCAGAAAAAGAGATATAGCCCCGTAATCCCAGCAGATGCGCTCTACCCTCATTGAAAGCATATATAGTCAACATGGATTACGCTCTACAACCTCTTTCTATCCGAACGTGATTTTTATTGCTCGAAAAAGCCGAAGTCGCTCTCCATGCATCCAAGCCTCCTCCCATAGAGGCTCGTTGAAGCGCAGGGGATCGATTCTGACAGTCTATTGTCTCACCATCACGGTCCTGGCGAGCCTCAGTACACGCATAAGTGGTGGACCGTGATCTACTCCTCTAACTGGAACATTAGGTGGCTGTCAAAAGTTGTTAGCGACTCTCGACAACGAATTTCCGATGGATTCGGCGTCCATTGTCCACTCTACTGTATTTCAAATCCATTATCAAATTTCACTGGTGGAGAGCATCATTACGAGCGTTACTGCCGCGCGCAAATTGCCGGGAAAGCTTTCAAAACTCTCCCGTAAATGGGGATACGGAGGATAACAAATTTTCGGACGCTCTTAGAAGCTTCCCAGAGTCAATTTCATACGAACTGGAATTAGACGTTAAATCTTCATGAGTTTGCGGGGGAAGTTAATGTTCTTGAAGTTAAGAAGGAGACTGGGGGATTGGACAGGCCAGAGTAATTACGCTTTTGAATTAAATCAAACTGTTCATTGAATCCAGATAAAGAATTGTTGCATGTTTACTAAATTCGTTTTTTTGACGATCTTAGCAATTATTTGGTTTCTAATTGATGAATACGGAAAAAATATAGTGGAATTGAGTATATTTTATTATACCAGAATCAATTATATGCATAAACCTGATTCAAGTATATTTTCTACTCGAATGAGGGATGGGTGTTTCAATTCGACAATTCGATGATTATTTCGTATCAGCCCGGATTGTACACTATTAACGAATGAACATTTGGTGAGACCGAATAGACCCTAACCTCCAACCAAGATTCATTCATTAACAATCACTAATCCAGTCTATCAATGTACCAAGCGCTCTCAAGTGTAATGTAAGGGTCAAAAAGTGGAGGTTAAAAAATGAGGGTCAGAACATTAGAGTCAAAAACTGAGGGCCTGAATGTAAAGGTGAAGAAATGAGGGTCAGAATGTTAGGGTTAAAAAGAGGGTCAGAATATTAGGATGAAAAAATTTAGGCCAGAATATAAAAGGAAAAAAAGTGGGTGTCAGGGAATGAGGGTCATATAAGGGCTAAAAATGGTGATCAAGCATAATATATGATTTATATTTAGACCCTCATTGACTGACATCCACTTTTTTTACTTTTATATTCTGACATGTAGTGCCTGACCCTTATGTTACCATTAAGGCGGCTTACTACTACCCGGATTGATCCAAAAGAATCATCTTTGAATTTAAATACCCACGCGCCAATTGAGTATAAAATATATTTGATTCAAGTATATTTTAAACCTGATCAGTTCAATGTAAGGAATGATGAGGTAGTCTCATGAGGTAGTTTTTCTAGAATTCTTTCCGATTTCGGTCGGACGACTGTTGATGTTATATTGCAAAAAAATCGATCGCATACAAAATTAGGTACTTCCAGTGCTCACTTGCAATTATTCAGAAAATTTGCATAAAATTATATATGGGCTCCGTAACGATCCAAATTCAAGCTGAATGTCTGATACGATCGTAATCGAATCGTAACATTTCTGAGTATGAATTATTTACATATCAATTTGAATAGGTTATCATTTGAGTTTAAACAACTCATCTCTTGAACTTCCAATGCATATTTACATTGATAATAACACCAAAAATGGGAAGACAATTGAATGAAGACGAAACGAATTCATGCATTTTCGTCGATAGATAATTTTAAGCTTGTTAAAATATAAAATATTTAACACAGTAAATGGATTCGAAGAGCAGACGACTGAACCGATATTACAGAAGAAGCAATCAGCTTTAAAATTTGAGATATTTTTAATCCTCCTTATAGAACACAACAAATGAAGCAGAATGCCTGAAATAATCATAATTGAATCTTAACATTTCTGAGTTTGAATTATTTTAATTTTCATGTTTGAAACATCAATTTGAATAGGACATCATTTGAGTTCAAACGACTCATCTCCTGAATTTGCAACGCATAATTATATTAATAATAACCCCAAAAAACGAGAGAAAATCGAATAAAAATAAAACAAATTCATGCATTTGATCAGATGGTAGAGAATGTCGCATCGTGTCATGAGACAGATTTTCAACTTTGAAAAATCTTTCAATATTTCATGATTATCTGCCAAAATATTTCAATTAGTCAAATCAGTAAACGGATTCGCAGAGCAGATGACTGAACTCATATCACAGAAAAAACAATCAGCGTTAAAAATTCAGGTGCTTCACCCTTCACGTACAATTATTCATAAACATGAATTCTCATTCCGATCTTATCCAATGTTTTCGCCAAAGTAGAACACCTGCAGAATGCAATTACAGAGATATTGTTCCCGACGGACTATGGCCCCAAGTATTTGATGAGATTCGCCAGATGATTAATTGGCATCTTGCTTTTGTATTACAGCCGTCTTGGATGAGAAGCCGGGAGTACTGGGACGACAGCTTCGAAGCTAGGTACGCCGAGCTGAGAAAGGATCCCAAAAGACCCCCCCTCAAGGTAATTAATTATCTCAGTGATGACAGTTTTATTTGTATCAAATGTCACGGTTTGTTGTAGCCATCAATTAATTACATTTCTGAAATTCCGGATTATTCTTCTTTAATGTGACTTTATCGAACAGGCGATACTCCCGAGCTAACAATTAAGGTCACCGGGAAAACTTTACGACTAATATGAGATGATAATTTATTTATTATTAATTAGGAAGAAATTGAAATATTCATTAATGTTTTTCTGATAAATAGCTTGGTTTAATTCAAGATTTATATAATTTACAATTAGATTTATTATTTGAATTCGATTTAATTTTGTTATTATTCTTTAGTTATTTTAAATATAATTTGAGGCATTATTTGATGAAAGAAACGACGATATTTGTTATTTTAAGTTTGGATTTTCTGTGAAAAGTAATACGATAAATTGATTTAATAAAAATAATCGTTTAGAAATGCAATGACGCGGAATAAAGGTTGGATATAAATTTGAGTTGAATTGAGGTTAATTCACTTGAGTATTTACCGAGACCGAGGAGTGAGTTTTAATTTTGGATAGATTGAATGTCCTTTACCCTTTGCGTATTGCTACGACAGTTTTCAGGCAGTACACCCGGCTACACTCTTAGAAATTTATTTAATTTCTAGAAAAAGGTTGCAATTGCATTCTTAGTGTTATGGGTTTCAATTCAATTTAGGGCCACATCATTCATGAAAGTTGCCATTCATCTTGAAAATTCAATACAATTGAGTTTTTCGTGGTAAACTATTATTGATATTTCAAGGACATCTTGAATTGTAGACCTCATTATGAAAATTGAATATCAAATTCAATCGAATTATCAATAAATTGAGAATTTCGTAAAATAATTCCATGAATTTTAATTATTTCCAATAATTTTATCGTTGTATGGAGCTGGAATCTATAATTTCATTGAATATTCGAAGAAGTTACCTGATTTTTTATTAACAAAATGGAGATAAATGTCATGCAAATTTAGTGTTGTTAAAAATTTCAAGTTTTTTTATTTGAAAATACTCAAACGTAACATTTTGTGTTGATATTTGATGGCTTTAGAACGACAGATCCATGATATTTGTTGGAAATTAACATTTTTGAATATTTCTTTAATAATTTCAAGATAATTAATTAAATATCCTGTTCCACGACGAAACAGTGGCCATATTTTGCTCGCAGTTGGGCTCTTGTGTTTTTAATGCTTCTCGGAAAATGAAGTGACTGTTGCACATGCTGCAACAGTGATATCCAAGGTAACAAGTAGAAAAACACCCGGTGAATAAAAGTGCTGTGGGACAACGTCGTTGTCCCTCTGAAACTGGAACGATAAATATTTCTACGAGTTTACTCGGGAGTTTCGCCTTTCGTTGCAGTAACGCTGGAGATTCGAAAACTGTCCTTTAGTTTTCTCTCACCCCAGCCCCCCCCCCCTTTAGCCCCTCCCTCCGCCCCTTCCCTTTTAACCGTGTTCCATGTTGGATAAATTGTCAGACAACTTTTCTACTTCTTTGGAATTAATCAACGTCTGTGCAACGAGAAATAAGTTTCCAGCTGCAAACATCTAATTTTAGAAGTTTGTGATTATTCATGCGATGGAGCTAAAAGGAAATAGTGAAATTACGAAATAAATATTTTTTAAGCAACAGATTTCAAGAGATGTTGCAGAAAATGAGAGATATATTTATGTAATTACTATTTTGCCTCATTATCATTAGCTTATTTGAAGAGTGTAAATGTCTCAAATTGTTACCTCCACGGAGACCAAAGTCAAAGAAAAATTACAAAACAAAAAAAAGCTTTTTCAGTTTTCACTTTTTCTACATACTTTTGAGAGTTCTGAATAGCCCATCGCTTAAATAATTGGAATCAATGTTCACCCGGTTAAAAAAATCGATTTTGGTGACAGTCGATTTTCCCCCTGGAAAAACGAAAAATCTGACCCTTTGAAAATCTGAAAAAAAAAACTTTTTCAGTTTTCACTTTTTCCACGTACTTTTGAAAGTTCTGAATAGCCCGTCGCGGAAATAATGGGAATAAACGTTCACCCGGCTAAAAAATTCGATTTTGGCGAAAGTCGACTTTCACCCTGACCCTTGACCCACGTGAAAATGAAAATTTTTCTTTCGTCGTTTCTGTCACCTCCGAGGGTTTCATTGGCATCATGGGGTCAATTAATACAGAATCAACGTTCACGATTTTTATTTAAATACCGCCTGCAATCGGAGAGATGAGGGTGGCTAAAATATATTCTGCAGCCCTCTCTCCTAGTTGGCTACAAATTTCAACCTTCCACATACATGCCTTCCCCTCCACCCCCTCGTAAAATCCACCTCTCCGAACCCCTTCGACGCGCAGCGTCCTCGTGAACGCTCCGGAAAAATTCCGTGACAGCTCCGTAAAGTTTCCTACAACCACATTTCGCTCCGGAATTACGGAAAAAAGATGTCATTTTTATTGAATATTTCTCTCCGTGCATAGATTACAAATCCCATCGACAATTGCCGCACCGTCGATTATGACTAATATTCTCAGCAATAAAAATGGTAACAAACTGCTTACAAAAAAAGCGATAAAATCACAATATCTCCGGAATTCAATTCACTCAATCATTCGGATAGTACAACATTAACAAAGTGTCCCCCGATAATCTTCTACCCTTGTTCCCCGACAGACTCAACTAATTCATCCATTCACTCTCCAATAAACATAATCAAAACCACTCAATCTACCTGGCGACCCGACATTTCGTCGCGATAAAACAATTAGAGACCTAGAAAAAGGTGATTGTGAAATCTTTTGTGTACAATTTGATGGCGATAGCATCTGATCACTGGTACTCAACTTAAATCGCATATTGCCATTTGCCACGCGCCACTAACTCACTTCTTTCACCGGCGCTCAACGCTCTTGTCCTCGTAATTTTCATACCTCACGACTCTCGATGCTCCGCGTTATGGACACGCTCAGGGATTACGAGATAGCTCTCGTGTTGGATCGATGTTTACGACTTTGTATCAGAGAAAAGCGATCGTGCTATTTTCCAAAATATATTATCGATTCGGCGAAGATATTTCGGAAGATGTGCTTTTATAAAAAAAATCATCTACAGAGAAAAAATTTGGATTAAAATTATCTACAGCAGGGATAGCCAAATTTGTAATATTTTATTACGGTTAATATTGTAGCCCCTAATTAGATAACATCACTCTTGAAATTTTTTGAGTACTTAAGTATCATCAATTCAAATATTCCAAATTTCAAATAATTTTATCAATCAATAATTTGAGGTAGGAAGATTGACGATTACTTGTGTAATCGAAAATCCACTTTCAAGAAATTTGAATTATTCTCTTAGTAGTAAATTTACAGTTTCATATTAAAAAATTTTAAATATATCATTATTCGTATAAAATCAGATTATTAATATTATATTATTTGAAAAATTGAATCAACATATAAACCTTCAATAATGTAAGTTTGTCCGAAAGATGAGAACAATTCCTTCATGTCAAGAAAACGAGTTCTCAAATCAATTGAAGTGGTTTTTGCATTAAAATATTTTAGAATGGAGGCTAGAAAACTATTAAATGAATTAATTCAATTTTACTTCGTTTCACAAATTGCTTTCTTGTCACCAAGAAAGTGTCCTCGTCTTTAGGACAAGTACAAAATTACTTTACGAAAGTTTTTATTTTCTTAGTGCAAGATATTTTACCCTTGAAAATTTTCAAGTCAGAAGTTTCTTGATATAAGTAAAGACGCATTTCTCAAAAACCTTTGTTTTTATGAGTGTAAAATGAAAATTTGTCGGAATTTCAGATGAGCAGGTGCCCAAACATCTTAATTCATGTTTAAAATTTGGACAAATTTTCATTTTATTCAGACGTTTTTTATTGTCTGCTAAAGGTGTGTGAAATTCAGACATTGGTTTTTGCTGTGCTCCCATCGCATGGATATCAGGAAAAAATCCTGGCGTCGCAGGGCTCTCTGCATTTGCTTTTTCTCCATTTGTCTTCACTCCCAATAAATATCAGAACCCCTCCAATATCTCTTGTAAACCCGTAAAACCTCGGCGAAACAATTGAATTTCCATCATTCTAACCCAACAACCGTAGAATCTCTTAATCTCCCCCCGAAAACAATACAAATACGTGTTCCACAGTGTGGACACGACGATCAGCTCGCAAGTACTCGAAAGTTGAATACATTTTTCAGTGATAAATTCTCCATCCCACCGTTTTCATCTCAAAACACCAGAGAACAAATGCCTCGGCAAACTAAACTCCGTAAACTCTCTAGTAACATTAAAATAACCTGAATTCCTTGCACACACTGTGAACATCTCTTTCACTTCGACTCTGTAATTTCTTCTCACCCATTTAAATGCTCGAGTTTCTGGGGGTAAAAGTATTCACAAGCATTTCGCCTCTGTTGTTGAAATGGGATCCTGGTTTTGTTTCGTCGTTTGCTCCGGGGATAAAGACGCGAGTCCCCGGGATAAGTCTGCGAAAGAGGTACTGAGCTTATCTAAATCAAATCCTAATCCTCGAGGCTGCCTGACTCGTCTGGTTGACAGGAATTCTCCCTCAACTGTAGTTACGGGTTGCGTGTCGTTTTTTGAATTTACATTTTCCATTTTTCTTGGAATTTTTTTCAACACAGGAAAAAAAAATTTGATATTTCGGGGACATGTCACTGATGTCCAGTGACATCTTCATTCATTTTTAGTAACATTATCCATAATTCTCAAACTAATGTCACTGATTTTTTACATTGGTTCAAGTCGTTTTTTACTGTTGGCTATTAGTTTTCAATCAATATCTCGAAAGGTAAGAGGGATAGCAAAATTTTTGTCATAACCTTTTTTATAGCTCTCAATTCGCTCAACAAAAAAGGTTATTATGAAAATTGCGTTATCTGCCTTAGATTCGGAGATATTTCTCGAAACCTGAGCTAAGAGCTGAGACGACTTTGACTAAATCAGT